GTTGCATGTTCAGATTAGTTCTGTACCAGGAAGAGAACCATTAGAAACTCCTTTCTATGTAAGTAGGATTATTCAATTTCTCAATTATCTGCATAAAACAAACAATGAGCATAAAACCCTTCTGGAGACACCAGATCTTTCAACAGTAGAAAAAGTAGATCAACACTCAAGAGAGTTCACACACTAATCTGCAGAGACTGGAAAATAATTGTCAATTCCTCTGTTAAAAAATAATATATATACAATTTCCAAAGGCAAACACCTTACTGAGGAGAGTGTTTGGATTGACTCATCTTTGTACATTAAAATCACAATATGGCCACAGCTGAGAGAAGGCACAGAGGGCTCAGGGGCTCTGCAGTTGAGGTGCAGCTTCCATTTCCCTGTGGAATTACCCCAACAAATCCATGATTTCTATTTCTGGGAGGATTCAAAATATCCTCACCCAAATTCATCCTGCTATGAATCACGATGACATCTGTCTGTACATTGTCGTGTCTGGGGGAAGACAAAACTCAAAGGAGCTAAAAGTGGTTTGCAGTTAATGACATGCACATTTACACTTGTAATCCCGAGTGGGAAAAGTTATTTTAACTAACACCAACGGGGGGAAGTGGCCGGTTTATGCTAGCCTTGGCAATAAAAAATTGCTAAAAACAGGCACTTTCAAGAGCTCCAAGTTCTAGAGGAACTGTCAGAGCTTTCAGTTTAGTTGGGAAGTCAGGAGTTTCTTTGTTAACTGAAATAAAATTATAAATTTTAATTACTTGTTTCTCCATTTGCTACATCATTTTCTATCATTATTACAACCTGATGTTAATGTTACGACCTCAGCAATCATCAACAATTTCCCATACTCTTTTAGGACAAATCTTTTCACCCATACCCTAAAAACTCCACAATAAACAATAAAAAATGAAGAAGATGACTGCAGCAGAAATTTCAAGGCAGAGGCTGGGACAGTTACTGATGTGCTAAAATTTTATCAGCATCAATTAATACAAGCACATCAACTTTATCATTATTTTATCTGTGTCCAGAAATAGATTCAAACTTTCTCTCTTTTCTTTCCTAAGTGAAATATTCTAATTTCTCAGCCAGCTGCTGGGGTTTAGCTGTGACAGATGCTGTGATTTTCTGTAGGAAAAGTTTTTCTCAGCAGCCAGAGGGGCAGAACTGCCAGGGCTGAGCAGAGTGGAGCTGGCTGGGGAAAGGGGCCGAGGTGCACTTGTCTTAAATAAGCAATAAATAAAAAGAGAGAAAACAAAAATGATGATCTGCACTGGAAATATTGCTGCACAAACAAACTGGACTGGTGGAGTTGCAGTTTTGCCTTGGCACAGCTGCAGCACTTCCCACAGAGCTGCAGCCCCTGAACTCCAGGACCTGTGACTGGTGGGATTCACGGAGCACAGGGAAGGACACCCCAAATCCAAATCTCTAAATAACACCAATAACTGAAATTGATTAAACTGAATTTCTCCAATATCACAGCACCTTAAACAGGTACATTCAACAAATGGGAAGTGGTACCATAAAAATGTAAATAATAACCTCATCTACAACGACAAAATTAAAATCATCCAATAAATCACCTTGTTTCCATGCAATATTGTGCTTCTAAGCTTCCTTATCATCAGGTTTCTTAGTTTTGGTCACAGGCACACTGAATGAGGTTTAATAAAGCACTGAATTTTAAAAATGATGTGGCAAATAAATGGCATTTATGTGTTATCACATTCTAATTAAATAATGAGGAAATCTGGATTTATCCTTTACATACTGATTAATGAAGAGCACTCTGCTGGTTAGTGTGAAGAGTTCTCCATTATGAGAGAAAAGAAATTCAACATAATTCATAAATTTAAAGAATTGTAGGCCTGGAATGAATCAGAAAACTCATGCCATCGATTCTGATTACAGAAAAGATGAAATTTTACCTCCATGCCACACACCATTTTTGAGTGCCAGTTTTCTTAGGATCCAGAAAAATCTTGCTGTTACCTGTCATTTCCTCCCCTGTGTTTCATTCAGGTTCATTTATTTGAACAGAGGTGTAAGCAGCTCTTTGAAAAGTAAAAAATTCCCCAAAGTTTAATGAGAAAAGGGCAAATATGCCTCTCTGAATTTAAATCCTGTTCCCTCTCTGAATTTAAATTCTGTTCCCAAAAAACTTTTTTCTTGCTATGATAATAGCAATCAATAAAAGAAAATATATACAATATAGTATAATTACCCATAATAATAATTAAATATTAATAACAAGTAAACCCTTTTTCTACCACATGATTTTCTGTAATAAAACCATGGAGCAGCATCAGGAGCAGGATTTGCCTGGAATTCTCTCAGCACCTTGTCTGCCTTTGGAACTGAACCCCTGACAGATTTCAAGCGTGGCTAAACAAGTTATTCCTATCTCTTGTATTTATTTCACTCAAAACCTGCCATCCCAGCTCGATTTTAAAAATGTCATGTGAAATAGTGTCAGAAGTCATCCAGAAGGCGAGATGACTTCTGACAATTCATGTTTTTCTCCCAGTAAGCTTTGGTACCTTGGAAAAACCAGAATAAAATACAATGTTCTGACATGATTCATTCTGACCAGCCATGCTGGCTGGTATTTCTGTCCTTCTTATCATCCAGACACTTAATGCTTTTTGATTATTTCTTCAAGTTTTCAGTTTATATTTTCTGTTTCATAATTCCATGTTTCTTTTAAAATGGATCATATTTTGAGTATCCTTCACAAATCCTTACAGCAAAACTCTGGAATGATTTCACTTGGTTCTCTACCTGAAATGAAATTCCTACAAATCAGTGACTTCAGAATAATTTAAATATAGATTTATCTCTCCAGGCTAATCCATGCTTTAAGCCTTTATTAAGAATGCTAATTACAGCTCCTCATCCCAGTGAACACCAGCACAAAGATAACATGAAACAATTTGGGTTCCTGATTCTTCAGACCAAATAATTTATATTTTTCCTCCCTGGCTAATGCACTTTTGGAGACTTTTATCCCTGAATACTCAGCTTTTGTTTGTCCAAACTTGTGCACATTTTTAGGAATAAATTTTATCTGTGCTACACCCTTAGCAACCTCTGCCAGAATTCTGCACCAGACTCCAGGGGACTTTTCGTGACTCCTTCCTTTAGGATATTTTGATTTCTGACTTTAGTTCATCATTACCCAGTACTACACTCTGAAGGTCAATATTTGAGTCTGACAGCCATACACTAAGGAAAATATATAAATATTTATCTTTGAATTTAACTTTCCCCCTCCATATTATATCAACCATTTCGAATCAGCTGCTGAAGATAAACCAGAAATTATATTATTAATTTTAATGGAGAGCTTGCTTTTGCTTCCAGTATTTTTCAGTCTCTGAAGACCTTTGCCTTTGAAATAATTAATTATATTAGTGGTATTTATGGTGTAGTTAAATGTGACTCCACTAAACTTCTGAAAAAATACTCATGACTAAATTAAATAATTAGACTTTCACTCCCTTGGAAATGATTCTCTAACCACAAATAAATCCATGCTATGGGGAATTATTTATTTCCCACAACCAGTACTGTCTGTTTACAAATGGGATGGCTGTGTATTATTTGAGGTTTTTTCTGCAAACATCAAGACTAAGTGTACTGAGATACAACACTTAAAGTGCATATATTGAATCTGAAAAAATAATTTTTTCAAAAAACAATTTTCTGAAAAACATTAAAGGATGCTTAAGAGGTAAATAACAAAACATTCCAGAGTGTGAGTTTGGGACCCTGTAGCTGATACAAAACTAATGAGCATATAATCCAATTTTGCAGCTTTGTTAATGTCTATGAAGCATTGAAAGAAAACAAATAAGAAAGTGAAGTCATTAAGCACACTGAGACAAATTCATTTCTGTGAGTCAAAAATGACAAAGGAAACACATTAGAGGTGAACTTGGTTTTTCCCTTTTTCTTTAAAACCAAACTAAACTGAGCTAAAATGGATTTGAAATTGTAATAAAGACAGAAATGTTTTGCAGAGGGGATGGAAAATTGCTGTCTCAATTCAATATTACATTATAATTTGATTTTTAATTATTTCCCTTGACTTCTATGAGCTCTTTATAAATGAATGATCTAACATCTCTATTTTATCATACTACCAATTCAACCTGACTTACCCTTTTTTATTTCTCTGTTTTCTGAACTAGATGTTAAACTGTGGATGTAATCCAATATTCTGCTAAATTTAATATGCTAATTTTGTGAAGAGACCTTATCTCTCCCTATCGTTAATGGATTTGCATTAACAATATCAAGGAGAACCACGAAATTTAGTCAACAAGCTGTCATTATTTCCCAGTTGGGCTTGGAAATTTAAAAAAACAGGTGCTATACATTCTAAAAAAATATTATATTAAACTGAGAAAATGTTTTTCTAAATAATCTTTGGCTAAAGTAGTGTTAAATATTGCAGCATTTTCAAAGTATGTGTTATATATTTATATCAACAAATGCATTATTATTTACTAAAAACAGATGAAGAGAAAAAGAAAGATTTTTCTAAGGAAGTGTCAGGAAGGTGTTTCAATCTACATAAAAATCCATATTTAGAGGCTGTAAGGAATATTTTGAAAAAACAATGAATTGCCCATAAGTGGGAAAGCTAACAGAATTCTGGAGTGGGAGGAATATATTTATTGTATATTTCCATGAAAGGCAGAGAAATTAATTTGTCTCCGCTATTTGCATTCAGACTCTAAAGACCATGTACAGGTTCCATGAGCTTTTAATTTGGAAATTTCTCCAGAGTTATAAGGTGCTCATTACATTGTCCTCAGATTCAGTGCAATTGAGTCAAGTCATTTAATGGACAAAGTAAGCAGAGATCAGAAATAAGACCTAAAGATGTAATATCCAACATTTCATGCCAAGAGGTATTTTAGCTGTCAGTATCACAGGAAAATAGGATTTTTTTAAGGATTCTGTTTGTGAGTGATCAGGAGGCTGTATTTATCATGTCAGTGCTGTGCAATCCACTCAAAACTGATGGAAGCAGACAAATCAGTAGCACCCCTTACTACACACAGCTGCAGTACAGTACAGTTTATGTGCAGGTGTATGAATGAAAACTTCCAGATACCAAAGAGAAAAAGCTGGGAGAAGGCATGGTAAGACCAGGATAGTGGGACTTTCATAATTTTAAAAATTTCTGTGCTGCCTTTTGAATAAAAATCAACGTCATCAGCGTTTATATTGCGTTTCTAACGCTGTGCTCATCACTGCCTCTGTCCCTGGCAGGCTGTCCAGCACCAGCAGCTCTCTTGGGATGAGCACCAATGGCTCTGACGAGTATTTCCAGTCCACGAACCACGCGGAGCAAACCTTCCGCAAGATGGAGAATTACCTGCAGCAGAAGCAGCTCTGCGACGTGCTCCTGATCGCTGGCGACCAAAAGATCCCAGCCCACAGGTACAGCTCCCAGGATCCTCTCTGCCTCAAATCCCCAAAAAGCTCAGTTTAGGAACAGCCTGGTTAGTTATGAATGAAGAGTTACTCTAATTAGGATTCCAGCTAATCACGTGATCAACACTTCGTGTCTATTATTTTAAACACAATGAAATTCAAATGAAAATTGCTGGCACTGTCCACCCTCTCTTCTTGCTGCTGTCAAACTACAGCAAGATCAGAGAAGAAAATCTGCCCAGATAAGCACTCTGGGAGAAAATTAGATTACTAATTACTCTTTTAACTTCACTGCTGCAAGATTTGACGCCTATGCTAATTGTTTCCGTGGTACACACAATTCATAACATTATAAAGCTGGATTTTTCTGCCTGGTACTGAGATGATGAGGTAATTTGCTGTCCTGCTGATGCCTTGTGAAGGCTGCTCTAGAACAGAGGCCAGATGGAGCTAAAGAATAAAGTAGGGATTTATCAGGAGGCCTCAATGGATCCACCTTGGGCAGCACAAGAGCCCAGCCAGGGCTGCACCCAAGATGAACCAAAATGGTCCCAAAATGCACAACTAGTCATGGGGTCTCTCATATTTATAAGTTCTGCTCCATTTGCATATTGGAGTTAATTTTTCATGACCGCTAACAGGGTCTCTCACTTTTATAAGTTCTGTTCCATGTGCATATTGGAGTTAATTGTCCACTTATAGTTTTAGGTTATGAAGTCCCATCGTATTTGTTTTTCTCCCTTCAGTCCACATTGTTTATGCTCCTGAGCCTGAAATTTGGATCATTTGTCCTTGGTCCCCAGCTGGAGAAGGAATTGCTTTGTCTCCCTGCCCTGTGCAGAGAGCTCAGCATCCCCTAATAAGAAGCCCAGACACTAAGGCCTTCAGTCCACACTGTTTATGCTCTTGAGCCTGAGATTTGGATCATTTGTCCTTGGTCCCCAGCTGGAGAAGGAATTGCTTTGTCTCCCTGCCCTGTGCAGAGAGCTCAGCATCCCCTAATAAGAAGCCCAGACACTAAGGCAGTACAAAATCTGAAAAATATAAAAGCTAAAACCTGAGGCATCCCTGCTAACCCTGCCTCCCCTGCAGGCTGGTTCTCAGTGCAGTCTCTGATTACTTTGCTGCCATGTTCACCAACGATGTGCGGGAAGCAAAGCAGGAGGAGATCAAGATGGAGGGAGTGGATCCTGAGGCGCTGAAGGCTCTGGTGCGCTATGCCTACACAGGTAACCCTGCCCCAGAGCTGCTTAGAGACATTTATTTAGATTTTTGTTGGGTAATATATGATTTTTCATACTAAAGTTCTGTTTATAGAAATTTATATATATTTTTGTTCATTGATATATGAATTTTCATACTCTAGGTTGAGAGGAAGTTTAAAAAACACCCATCTCCAACCACGACACCTTCCACAAAACCAGGTTACTCAGAGCCTTGTTTTGGGAAAGGTTTTTTGCCTAATTACAATTTTCTTCTTTTGGGTTTGGTTTTTTTTTTTTTGGGGGGTTTTTTTTTTTTTTTTTGGGGGGTTTTTTTTTTTTTTTTTGGTGGTTTTTTTTTTAATTTATTTTTTTTTAAACCAATCCAGATTGGATCTAAAGCTGTTAAAGTTCCAATAAAAATGTCCCAGTCATTGTATTCAAAATTGACCAAACCCTGTAAGTTAAAATATCTGTTTAATAAATCTTTCAGCTAGAAAGGAACATGGATTTGTGAACCACAGGACATCTCAGAGAAAAGCCAAAGAGCAACAAAGTTTCAAATAAAGAAAATACGAGGGAAATCACTTAAAACTAACTTTCTTTTTTTTTTTTTTTCCTAAAAACTGCCCAGGTATCCTCGAGTTGAAGGAAGACACAATAGAGAGCTTGCTGGCTGCTGCATGCCTTCTGCAGCTCTCCCAGGTCATTGAGGTGTGCTGCAACTTCCTCATGAAGCAGCTGCATCCTTCCAACTGCCTGGGGATCCGCTCCTTCGGGGACGCCCAGGGCTGCACCGAGCTCCTGAAGGTGGCCCACACCTACACCATGGTAAGGTGAACAGCTGACAGCTCTGCAGTCACAATTACTTACAGAAATACTCACTTCTCGTGCTCCCCACTTCTGAGTTTTGCCCTGTAGAAAGGCAGCCTCAGTGAACTTAAATTTGCAGTACGAGTGGTACCTACTCCTGCCAAAAAATGTAATAGGGCCTTAACGCGGCTCGTGTCTAGAGACAAACAGCAGTGGGCCATCCTTGTACCTTTGATTCCACACAAAGAAAATTCTAAAGCTGATTTTAAGGTGAGACACGCATTAAAAGAGTAAAAATAAAGAACGTATTGGGAAGATTTGGAATGCCAAAAAGAAGCACGTCCCTGACTGGAACATAATCCTCCTCTGGCTCAAAGCAAGAAATGAATATTCAGAGCATGGGAAACAGAGAAGTGAGATAACTTGCTATGAAACCACATTGAGGGATAAATATTCAGGGCAACAAGATGTGCTATCACAGCTTAAAACATACAAAAATAATGGCAACTGCTACAGCTAAATTGATATAAAAATAACTACTTGTTAGGAGACCCATGGCAGCTTTCTGCTTGAAATATTAGGGGAGGATGGCAGAACCAGTTTCGAGGCTTCGTAATGCTGAGAACACTCCAGCAGGGGACTGTGCCTGTCCACCTGCTGCAGGAGGTGAGAGTGGCATGAGCAGATGAGGGCACTGCTTGTGCTCCTCCCTGTCACAGCAATGAATGCTCGGTTTAGCAGCAATTACACCCCCTTTACATGTCACAGTTTGAAATGGGGCACTTAAGATAGAGGTTTGCTCAGACCTGTATAAAACAGTGTTGTCCTTGCTGCTCCAAACCTTTTTATACTCATCCAAATTCAGGAAATCCCCCTCTGCTGTTGCCTCTTTCCTCCCACCAGTGCAAAAACTGGGGGTGCAGTTTAACCATTTAAAATTATGGTTCAGATTTCTGCAAAACTGAAATAAAATCATATGGTTGGATTTATGATTTTATGACAGTAAGAGATGTTGAGACAATAAACAACAAGGAGTTTATGACAATAATTTTTGTCGTTTATATATTTTTTAACCATTTGAATCCTCCAGTCTTTCCCAGGAGTTAAACCTTTATTATTTTTTGAAACCACGTGTCAAAAATTTGAGAGTTGAGTCATTAAGAACTTCCTAAAATGAAGGATCATGATGACTCTGTGACACTCAGCAGCACTGGGCATAAGTTTTATATTATTTTCCTTGAAAACAGCTTCTACCACCTCTGGAACCATCTCCTGTTCTTGCATGGAACAGAGTGAAAATACTGCCATGAAACAGGACCTGGACCACAAACCCACCCACCACGTTTGCTACTGACAGCTTAGAAAGAGAAGAGGAAACCTGCACCTCTGAAATAAAAACCTGTTTCAAACCCTTGCAGTGATGTTACAAAAAAGCCTTTGGAGAACAGGAGATCATAACAATGCATAAACACGTAGACATTGTGGAGGGGGATGAGTAAAACATTCAGGTTTGTTTCGTGTTGGTGAAAATTGGAACTTAGGGGAAAGGCCAGAAAATTGCCCTGTAAATACAGAGCCCATAACATTTTCAGATGTGCTGTAAACACCAGATCCATTCAATAAAACCAGACACAATGGGGACCTTCCCCTGCAATATTTTGGCCACAGAGGCAGAGTATTAACAATTTCCTGCCTGGTATCTTTTCGTGCAGATAGAGCTCATTCTGATAAACAACTTGGGCTATATTTGTAACTAGAAGTGGACTGGCCTTCCTGTCCCTGTTCTCTGAATGTCACAAATATTAAAGCAGGATATGCATAACAGACCAAAGTTGACATCTCCTTTAATCACTGATACTTCTGTATTTGCATCCTGGCTACACTTGAAAAGAGTTCCAGAAAGTGGAGAAACTGCTGAAAACAAACAATAAAATATCAGTTACTAAAATTTCTTCCACTGCCCTATTTCAATCTGGTTCCTAAAGAAATATTAGTTCTAGGTACAGAAATAGAAATTCTATTCTAGATTTCAAATGCAGTTATGAATTCCTACATGCATCTCTTTGTAAGTAACGTAACCCCTTCTCTCTCTTCACCAAATGTCTTTTTTCCTTTGGCATTTGATAGGAAATGAGATAATATATATATATTTATACCCTATATATTGACATCAACTGTGATATTGTTGTAACTCAATATTTTTTTAAAGAAAAATAATTCTATGAAATTCTAGGTATTTAACCCATGTGGTCACTTCTGGAGTTGGGGAGTTTGATCACAACAGTAGCTAAAAGGCTGATAACCCTTTACTGGGATTTGTCCAACTTTGCATTGCCCAAAAGAAAAGCGAGCTGGATTTCCTTTGCTGGATTTTCTTGCCCTCAGAGCACAGTCACACAGCCAACAGCTGGCACAGCTCGCTGCAAAAGGATTGGAAGGTTTTGGTTTATTTGGCTCAAAACCTTTGAATCTGCAATGGAAGGGACACATTTTATTTGAGTGCCCACTTGGCACTTCTCAAATGCACATTTTATCTTCAAATAGTATTTCTATCAAGCCGCAGAGCTAAGATCACACTGATTAACAAAAGTGCCAGTGGCAAATCCCTAAGCCAGGACAAAGACATCTGCAGCATGGTGGTATGAAAATGAGCATTATTCCTCAGTTCTGCAAGAGTAGGGCAGCAAAAAGCAACCAAAATCTCCATTAAATGGTAGAAGGACATTCAGTGGTCTTTAGAACATCCACAGCATTTCCCTGAATGAAATATTCACAAAGCCTACATTATCTAAGAAAAAGCTATTTCTACCTGTGAAAATCACCAGTGCATTGAAATCTTCTTTTATTTTTAGGAACACTTCATAGAAGTAATAAAAAACCAGGAATTTCTTTTGCTCCCAGCTAATGAAATTGCCAAGCTCTTGTCTAGTGACGACATCAACGTGCCAGATGAAGAGGCAATTTTCCAGGCCCTGATGATGTGGGTGAGGCACGACCTGCAAACCCGACAGCAGGACCTGGGGATGCTCCTCTCCTACATCAGACTGCCCCTGCTGCCCCCCCAGGTAGGAATATGAAGGGTTAACAGGGAACTCTGCCAACTGAAATGCCTGTCTTGGGCATACTGTAGGCAGAGAGGAGAGCTTTGTGGAACGGTTCTGGTTGGGACTGGAGATAATTCATATTTTTTCACCCTTTCTAATTTTTTTTTAAATTATATAGTATATATATATATATATTTTTTTTTTTTTTACACAGATGAAAAGAAACCCTCCAGTCCCAGTGTGATTACCAGGCTCAGAATTACCTCTAAAAAATGCCAGTCTATTCCAAAAGCCAACTGTTCCATTGTAATAGTTCTCCTCTAACAGCACAGCAATCTAGATACCATGCAAAGATATTTCTTTAGATTTACCAAACTGCAGGACAGATAAGCCACAATTCTTCTTTCTTTATTGCCATAAAAAGCAGACAAATATAAAAGGGCCTGAATTATTGCTGACAATTCTGAGCACTGACATTACTTGTCCCTTAATTCTGAAAGAGACAATTCATCCATCAAGTTCCAGAGCTGGACATTCTGTTTTACAGAAGGGTGGCACTGCTGTGTCTGTGTCAGAGAGGAATCTTTATATCTCCTCAAAACTGCATGTAGAATATTGAGACTGTCAGTCAGGACACTTTATGAATCTGCATGACTGATGCTGCAAATATTCTGCCTTGAATAACATATAAAAGTACCATACACACTTAATTTTAAATACATTTGGTATGTTTTAATATTCACAGAGATGCCCAGTTCTCTGTGGTAGATTTATTTACTCACATAAGGAGTTTTGCATAGAGGGTGCAGTACTACAAATTTCTGATTTGAATAATTTTTAAAAGTTAAGAGTAGGAAAATAACAATCAAAGCCATCACACTCATAGAATTTTCCCCTCCACCTTTATAGCTTTGCTTGCATTAAAGCAGAGTTCCCAGCAAAGCACAAGTGAGTGGTGAGCTCAAAATGAGTATTTGTCACTGCAAATACTTCAATTATTCAAGTACATGCAATTTTAATGATTTAGCTGTATATCAAGATGTGTTTTTCCCCCCATTTCTTAGCTACTGGCTGATCTAGAAAACAGCCCAATGTTTGCAGATGACCTTGAGTGTCAGAAGCTTCTCATGGAGGCCATGAAGTACCACCTGCTGCCAGAGAGACGCTCCATGATGCAGAGCCCTCGAACCAAGCCCAGAAAATCCACAGTGGGTGCCCTTTATGCTGTGGGAGGCATGGATGCCACTAAAGGTAAGCCCACAAGTTAATTTGTCTGGGTTAATTAATTGTATTACAGATACCCTGGGAATATATGACATTTAGTTAAATATTTCCCATAGGAAAACTGTTGATTTAGGGGTAAAAAAGAAGAAAAAGCAAATTACAGAACAGAATCCTACCTGTCAGAAGTGCTTTCCTCTTGCAAGAATCATATTTGTAAACAATACTCTTATATTTAGGTGCAGACTGAAGAAGTTTGAGTCATATGGTGATTTTTAAGATTCAACTTTGTATGAATTGTTGCAAAAAAATAGTTGAATTTACAAATCAGAAAGAAAAGTAAATATTTAAAATGTTTCAGGATTTTTTAAATATTGAACCTTGTGGTCTATATTTTGACAAAGTAAGAAAGCTAAGATTTCAGAGAAGCAGAAAAATAGAGCAAAAAAGCACCACTGAACTACAGAGAACTCTTACCTAATGCTTATAAATCCTTATTAGAACATTTCAGGTGGAAAGATTTGTATTTTTCATGAACACAGCTTTTCTTCAGGACTTCAAACACGGGGGGTTTTTTCAGGTTAGTAGTTGAAAGTTAATTATTACAAATATATTCCAGCTTCTATTATTTGATTTTCACAACTGCAATCAGGTTACAGCTTTAAACATTGCACTATTCTATTTAGGTGGCAGAATATTAAATCATTTTCTGCAGGAACCTCAACTTCAAACCCACAGCTTGGAGCCAGAGAACTCTAATTAGTTTAAAGTCTAGCGACTTGCAGCACAGAATTACTTTTAGCTGTGTGAGTTCACTTTTAATAGAATCACAAAGAAGATAATCCATTTCATGGTTTACAAAAAGCTGCTGACGACTGATTTTTCCCCACATGAGAGACCTTGCAGAGCTACCTCCCTATCTCTGTGCAATCAAATCAAGTGCAGAATACACATTCATCGCCAGCACAACATGAAAACACTAATTCCTAGCACAATTTAGCAAATTGGAGTTAATCTGGTGCAATTAAGTAGATTCATTAGCGATACTGAGTATTTATGAATTATATCAGACAACCAGGTAATCTTTAAAGTATCTTCCTCTAAAATAAGAATACAGTTTTCCAATCATTTTTTCTTAGTAAAGGTTATGCAAAAAAGGGTTATTTCAGTCAACATCTGCACTTCCTCTTGCTGCCTCTCTTACTTCTTACCTTGGAGTGAAGCCAATTGTTTGAACTTTTGCCTTTTGATGGGTAAGAAGAACAGCACTTCTGCTCCTCCTGCTGTCCTCCACAGCTCTGACTCAGATTTGGAGCCTGGGCTGGTTTGGGAGATAAAGGAACAGCAGAAAGAGACCAGGATGCTCTGGAGGAACAGCTCTGAGAAGGGAATATCTCCCACCCCTGGCAATAACACACTGCCTGTGACAGAGACAGACACCAGGCAACGCCAGCTTTGCCTTTGTGCTTATCTCAGGTGGGATACGAAGACAAATCTCAAATTCCACTGATCAAAAGAAGATCAAAGAGGTGCTTTTGGGCTGGAATTTTGAAAAATGGGAATGTGCCTAAACTACGTTAGGTTTTGTGACTTTCAAATCTTTGAGCCTCTGTAAAAATTACAGCCCACAGGGTATGGCTGAACACACTTAAACCTGACTGCATTTTCCCTGTGTTTTAGTTAGTGTGGGAGATTTCCTTTGAAGTGGAGGACTTTGGGGCACTCATGTATTAGCACAGAATAAATGAGAAAGAATCAAAGCAAAGAGCAGCAAACAGAATAACAAGATGGAAAGAACAGGCAAAGAAAGCCAGCTGCTCTGGATAAAGGGGAGAAAGCAGAATTTCTGTCTTTTATTGCAGATGGAGCTGGTAGTTTCTTTCCCAACCTATGCATGTGGAAAAACATATCGATAAGAGAAAAGACAGCACGAGATAAACTCTTATTTCACTGAATTTCTGGAGTGCATCAGGTGATCTCTAACAGATCTCTAAACCAAATCCTACCTTTCTTTTCTGCTTTATTGCATGGTTGTTTTCCTGTTGTAAAAATAATTTCTTAGCCACAAAGTGCCTGTAGTTATCTCCAAAACTCCACTTGTCTGGTCTCAAATCCCAGTCAAGGAACAAGAAATCTGCTCTGTGTTCCTCATCTGGCTGCCTTTGACTGAGCTGAATTTGAGCTCCAGGGTGCAGTGGCAATTCTGCCTCGGATCTCACTGAGCCGTGGCCTCGCTGTGCTCAGCAGCTCTCAGAGGAGCAATTATGGCTCCTGAGTGCTGATGGGAGCCGGGGTGTGGAGAAGTGTCAGTCTGAATGGCAGAGAGCTCCTGCCTTAGGAAGGGTTTCAGTAAAATGTTACTGCAGGTCCAGTGACCTGAAAGAAATGGAAAATGTGTCTGGTGTGTTAGAGCGGCCAAGCAGCTCCTGCAGGGCTGAGCCTCAGGGAAGATACCTGTGGGAACCAGGTGTGCACTCACACACAGCCCTGCCTCCTGCCTGACTCCATCCTAAAAGGGAAAATACCCACCAAGGTTCCTGAAGATGCTTGTCCAGTTCCTCAGACAGATACATGCAGTCTGGTTTTAACATCACTAATGCTTCAGGCACAAACACGGTTAAAGAGTAGATTGTTGTGAGGCACTGTATTCATAAGGAATTTAAAAAAAAAACCAAAACAAACCCACAAACCCCCTACTGTCGTGGTATTTAAGCAACAGATTTAACTCATCTCCAAAATTTGCAGTGCTACAAAAATTGCCATACTGTAAATGCTCGGGCACCCCTGACGAAGGCAGGAATGACGAGGAGGACTCCATGTTCTCAGAAGGCTAATTTATTACTTTATTGTAATATACTATATTAAAGAATACTATACTATACTAAAGAATGCAGAAAAGATACTTACTGAATGTTAAAGAGATAATAATAAAAACTCTTGAGTCTTTCCAGAGTCCTGACACTTGGCCCTGATCGGCCAAAGAGTCAAAACAACTCACAGCAGAATCCAATGAAACAATCACCTGTGGGTAAACAATCTCCAAACGCATTCCACACATGAGCACAACACAGGAGAAGCAATGAGATAAGAGTTGTTTTCCTTTTCTGTGAGGGCTCTCTCACTGCCTTTCAGCTTCCCAGGAAAAAACCCCAGGCAAAGGAATTTTTTCAGAGAATGTGAATGCCACACTGCCACAATTTAATTCTCCATTTCTTGCCACCAGTATGTTCTCACAGACTTGACAACCATGAATGCAATTAATGCAGCTTTCTCACTGTGTTCACGTGAGAACTGAAGTTCACAGAAAAACCTCACACGCAGAATTTAAATATTTTTTAATTTACTCACATTTTGAGCTGTCTGCTGGGCACTGCTCCCTCCATGGCTGTCTCTGTTTTCCACAGGCACCACCACAATTGAGAAATACGACCTGAGGACCAACAGCTGGATCCAGATTGGGACCATGAACGGGCGGCGGCTGCAGTTTGGGGTGGCAGTGATTGACAACAAGCTCTACATCGTGGGGGGCAGGGATGGGCTCAAGACCTCCAACATCGTCGAGTGCTTCAACCCCGTCACCAAGGCCTGGACCGTGATGCCTCCGATGTCCACGCACAGGCACGGCCTGGGTAAGAGGGGCTCTGCCTCTGCAAACCTCTCAGCACACCAGAGGGGTTTGATTGACTCCTGCACTGCTGGGGAAAACTTCTAACAGCATGCAGTGACACGCAGCAATGCTCGTAGAGGATGTTTTTCAAAGAGAGATTTGCCCGTTGCCATATTTTGATGATTTTATTAGTGCCCACGTAACTAGCACTGATGTTCCAGAGTTAATTTTGTTGGTAGGAAATTCCAAAATATAAGCTATAGTGAAAATAATCAACTTCACGTGATTTACTGGTCAAGGGATACATTTGCAATACAATAACAACATGATTCTATTTTTTTATGAAAATAAATTATGAATTAAGCCCAGAGGTATCAATCACCTCTGTAATGCAGATCAAGGCATTACCTACACTGAAGAAAACAGTGTATGGAAATAAGTACAACTTCACTAGTTCTAATTTTGTAATTACAAGAAGTTTTACAGAGCTCTGCTGTGGCTTAGTATCTATGTTTTGGCTTTTTTTTTAGTGCAAAATAATCCTTAATATTATTCACACTGAAGGAATAATATGAATATAAAATCTCAAATTTATTTCCAGAACTATAAAAAATAAGGCTAAGTTTACAGATGGGTAGACTGTAACAGAGGGAATATGATGATTTCTGAATTTATATATCCCAGACCTTATGAAAAAGCTGGCTTCTCTTAAGTTACAGAAACAGGTATTGCTTGAAATCATCAGTAAGTTCAAATGTCATGGAATATTTTTATTTTTACGGATAATAGAGGAAGATTGATACAGATTTATTTGGCAAAGAAATGTGGCCTATGCCACTGCTTGACAGAGAAAGGGTTGTGAAGGGTTCTTACCAGCTAGAGCACCAAATTTATGAAACCAAATACTAGTAGGTGGCAAAGGGGAAGAAGACAAAACAGATGAAATAATTTGCATTGAAATCTTTATAATTCCTGACTGCAGGGGCATAATTGTCCCCAACAAGTAGGTCACAGCCATAAATTGGAGTGCCCAAAGTTTGGCTTCGATCTGTGCCTGGTTTGCAAAACTGCCTCACTCTTACAGTCCCCATTAACTTCAGGGAGATTCAGTGGAGTTGGTGCTTTTGAAGAAATCAGGCCATGTATATTTAGGCCTGAAAGACAGATTTAGAAAACTTTTAAGCAGCTGGATTGAAACATTTTGCCTCACCTAACAAAGGGAGCAAAGAGCAGCAGCAGCTCCCAAAGGGAAGGCACCAAAGCCCTTCTCTGGAGAAGCACAAAGGCCCAGGCTTTGTCCACGCAGAGCTTTGCAGTGACAGCCAAGCTGGCTCTCCTGTGCCTCAAGGACAGCAGATAGGAGCCAGCTCTTATCCAAAAGGCATTAAAATGTTGTGGTGCTTTAGCTGGTAAGGACAGCCAGCTACCCACCCACCCAGGCTTCATGCTGGCAGCACTACAGAGCTTCAGCTGGCTCAGAATTAGGAGAGGTTGTTGGTTTGGGCATATTTTTCATTGCCTGACTAGAGCTTTGCCTTTTTGTAGGAGAACAACATCGTTCCCCAGTTAGGGGCTCAAATTTGTTTCAGAGCAAGGTCACCAGAAATGAAAGAAATAAAAGTCCAAGAAGAGAACAGCGGGACTAAAGCAGCTTTCCTCTAATCTTTTGGCAACAGATAATGGGTGTTTAGAAGAGCACTGTATGTGAAGTGCTTGTTTATCTATTTATTCTTCCAAATGAAAAGGCAGCTTTCAGATCATTTAACACCAGCCGAAATTGCTTATCTGCATACAGGGAATTAAGGCACGGAATGAATTCACCGCTGGTCACTGAAACCAAGAGATAATCTGTCCCTAATTCTATCTTCCAAGGAGTAGCAATGCTTGAAGGACCAATGTATGCAGTTGGGGGCCACGATGGCTGGAGTTACCTGAACACGGTGGAGCGCTGGGACCCGCAGGCACGGCAGTGGAATTACGTGGCCAGCATGTCCACCCCGAGGAGCACCGTTGGGGTCGCAGCCCTCAACAGCAAGTATGGCACAGGAAAACCTCTGGCTTTTCATTTTCCTCCTTCCCTGCAAAAAGGCGCTTCTTGAATTTTATTTTCGGGCTCATGGTTATTAATGACCTCAAGGAAACAGAGGAAAATGTAATGCATAGAAATAAGGAAGGAAAGCCTTTCCTCTGCTGTGTGGTAAATTCATTTCAGGCTTGCAGTCAGGTTTTAAAAACATTTCAGCCTTTTTAAATTATAGCAATGTGAAAATGTTATTACATGCGCATCAGAATTTTACCTAGAGTGTAACATATGGGGGTATAAAATCAGCTACTTTAAAAAAATTCAAATTCACAGCCAATTTTTAAAAAGGTGTGTGAAGTGTTTAATGGAAAGAAAATGAGTTTATTAATTAGGTAAGGAATAAACAGCCTCTTATAAATCTTATCCTATCCAGATTTGCTCCGCCCTCCATCTCTTGCTTAAATACACAAAATCAAGTGTTAATGTGCATCTTTAGCATCTGCTGAGATGCTAAAGCCACTCAAGCCCTTTTACATGGGCACAGACAACTATGTATTTTACAAAAAACTTGTAAAAATCCTCTGGATTTATGGAGAATACAGTTTGAGCCAACATTTCTTATTTAACCCTGTGGGAAGATCTCAGCAGTTTGTTAGGGGCTGGGAACACTCAGTTACAGGCAGACAACTGCATTTACCTGGAACCTTTGCCACTGGCTTCCCTGATCTCTTTGTAAATACCCAGAAAAGAGAGGGATAAAAAGCAGAAACAGAGATGTCAGCAAAGGGATATTTGTAAATGCAAGCTGGGGGTTTGCATTCATACAAGGCAGGATTCAAATCATAGCTCACAAGTGCAAGAGAGGCAGAAGTGCCTCTCCAGGTCCCTGCTGCACCTCAGAGGAAATGTTCTCAGCAGAAACTCCAGCAGAAACTCCTCCTGGTGCCTTCCATGGCAGCAACATGCAGGAAACCACTTTGTCAAAGAGGAAATCAGCCCAATCCTGACTCTGTTCTCAATCATTGCTGATACAAACTGTCTCCAGCAGGGCTTAAATCACGTCTGTTAGTCTGGTGATGTAATTTCTGGCGTACCAGGAGATCAAATGTCCATCACTCAGTGCTACTGCTGCGCTCCACCAAGAGAATGCTTCTCCTTTTCCTGTTTCCCTAAACCACACCATATTTTTTCCTGTTTCACCCCACCAGAAAAGCCTTTGCATATCTGTGGAGCAGCACTTTTGGACCAATAAATGGTCCATTGAAAACATCAGTCAATAATGCTATATTTGGTCTTTTCCTTAGAGAATGGGAAACACCACTGTGTTTATAGACATGTTGTGGAAAACAAAGGATCCCACCCAATCACTTTGTCTGTACAGAGATTTCCTTGCCCTGTGAAAGCTGTGTAAACAAGCAGGCTGTGTCAATGGCGTGATGTGAAAAGAAAATAAATCAAAGCCTCAAGTTTGGTATGGATCAGACAACAAACTGCACAACCAAATTCAATTTTATCAAGGGAACAAACATTAGGGGAGAGAGAGCTGGGGTTTTTTTATTAGCCTAATGGTGACTAGAAGAATCTTCTAGTTAAAATATGCACTAGAGAAATCTGTAAACTTTTTAAGTCTCTGGAATAAAACAGGCACTTCCAAAGGAAAATTCAGCTGATCTGGTTTACATGATTTACTCTGGGCAAGTTCCACATTTCTCTAGGTCTCTAATAAGCTTCACTAAATAAATTCAATTTCATGGCAGAAAACAATAACAAGGGTCTGAAAGGGAGCAGAAAAACCAGCACACTCAACACCTGAACACATCTTCTATTACATTCCATCCTAGTCCAGCAGCATCCAAGTCAGCTTGAGACCAGAAAGAAGTTCAGGCTTTGGAAAATTAATTGACAAAAAGGCACAACCCCTGATTTTTTTTAACATGTATTACCACAATTTATTCCTAAAAGTTGCCCCAACATCAGCTGTTTAAATCTCCGTTTGCTAAGTGCCTTTGGGCTGAACAGACAAGATGACACAAGGTGGTACCTTCTGTCCAGCAGATTTTCTTAAATATAGACTCAGAGGAAAATATATTTACTATATGGTTTTTGATATATATTCAAGTTATTAAAGTTAACTGAACAGGAAGAAACTTTTAATGTGCTAGTATGTCGAATACTCTGTAACCCTCTCCCAGGAAATGCCACCATATGTTTCAAACATATGCAGCATCTTTCAATTCAGCTCTTTCTATTGGCTCACATTTAGAGAACATGACATGAATTTTTAAGCTTAACTTTCATATATGGCTGCTTGAACATTTCCACTGTAAGTGAAGAATGAAACTTGATCTAACATGGCCTTATGTTAGCTAAACATCTATCATGTTTGCCTTTGAGCAAAGGAAGTTCCAGAGAGCAGCAAATAATGACAATTTCCAAGTGGTCTGAATGAAGTCAGGCAGATAAAATTCTTATTAGTGGGAGAATAAAGACTGAAATTGTTTTCCTGCTTGTGGGTTGCTGTCCCAGGCTGTACGCAGTCGGTGGGCGAGACGGGAGCTCCTGCCTGAAATCCATGGAGTGTTTTGATCCCCACACGAACAAGTGGAGTTTGTGTGCCTCCATGTCCAAGAGGAGAGGTGGTGTTGGTGTGGCCACCTACAACGGGTTTTTGTATGCCGTGGGAGGCCATGATGCTCCTGCTTCCAACCACTGCTCCCGCCTGTCCGACTGCGTAGAGAGGTAAGAAATTATTTTGGGTTTTTTTTTTCTTTTCTGTTTACGTTCCGGGAAGGGATTCTAGAATAAATTCTCTTCACAGCTGGAACGTTGTGTTTGTAAAATATATCCCGCCTTTTTGAAATAATATTTTGAGCAGGAATAACCCAATACCTTTGTGCTAACAAAAGAATTAAACCTCAGCAGCAAATTCCTCCCTTCTGCCTGAGCTACCATGAGCCAGGTAAAGCAACTGAAGTACTGAGACAAATTCAACATGTGACCTTCCTATTTCTCAAATGCCAGAACTCAGGTTTGGGCTGCTTGTGCCATGAGCTGTAGGAATGAAATACTTTTCAGTTGTTCTTCTAGTAATTTGACTGATACTGATAAAAGTTGTAAAAATATAAGAAATATCACAGAGTCTTGTCATTTGGGGAAAAAGAAGGAAAACTGAGCGGGTGTTAAACCCTGCTGTGAACAATAACAGTCAAATTCTGTTCTCAGCTAGAGGGGGTAAAGTAGGAATTACCTGGAATTCACTGCAATTTATATTGGAATAGATCAGAAATAAGATCAATATTAATGTAAGATGCTGCCACGCATTTCATGTGAGCAACTTAGAGCTACTACACAAGATATTTAACTTCTTTTATAGTAAACTTCTCTGAAAACATTAATTCGAACAATAAAAAGTAAACCAAATGCTCTGTGGAGGAAGAAAATAAGAATATATTGAAATTAGTTTTGCTGAGTCAACTGGTGGCCATGCTATCATCCCCTCAGGTCCCATTTGTGTTTAAAATGTATTGATAGCTTAATGTAATTGAAATGAAGAGACTGCAATCAAAAAAGTGAAACCAGGAGCATTTTCTGTGTGCTTGAAGGCCCCTCTAGTGGCTAAATCAAAAACTGAGTCACATCTCAGTTCAGAAAAGCAACACAGGAGAAGACAAGCGAAAGTCAGCAATTTAAACCTGAAACGTGTCCCCACCACGCGTTTTTCTGAATTCGATGCCCACATTTCCCAGGTACGACCCCAAAACAGACGCTTGGACCACCGTGGCCCCTCTGAGCGTGCCCCGGGACGCGGTGGGCATCTGTCCCCTGGGGGACAGGCTCTACGCCGTGGGGGGCTACGACGGCCACTCCTACCTGGACACCGTGGAGTCCTACGATGCTCAGAACAACGAGTGGACAGAGGTAAAACGGGATCACAGGTGATGCCTCAGAAAGGGTAGGGGCTCTTCCTGCAGCTAGGAATAATTCTGTCCAAATAACCGTGAAATTATCGCCGGTTTGGGGAAAAGCGACGTGTAAGGATGTAGGTAATACTATATACTACTGTAGGTGGGCTTCAATAAAATATCAGTGCCCTCTCCTGTAAAGTAACCACGTAAAACTTTTCACACTGAAGGGTGGAGGAAATGCATGGGCAAGCAAACCAGCTTGCATGAATCAATTTGGGTTTTAAGTGCTCAAATTCCCTGTTGATCTGGTGTTTTGTCAGCCATACCCTTCTTCTGGAGGCACCTTTTATATTTATATATACTTTTATATTTATGGCCCTCCCCACTGAGACCAAGAGGAAATCCCTGCACTGCCAGGATCCTTTTGCAGCCGCACAGTCCCTGGTTTTGGAACACTACATGTGAAAACCTTTGAAGATGTCAGGGGGACAAACCCAGGCTAAACACTTGTAACTGAATTTTGACAAAAAGCCCAAACTGTGTTTTCATACCTTAGTTAAACATATATTTTTTTAGCATTACGTCAGTTTGAATAAACAAATTGCTTTCCTATTAATCTGAAAGTAATTTCTTCTTGTCCTATCCATAGGGTGCTACTAAAACTATTTCCTCCTTTTTCTTTTCCTTTTCCTTTCTAGGAAGTTCCTGTCAACATTGGCAGGGCTGGAGCATGTGTTGTTGTTGTGAAGTTGCCCTGAGGACTGTAAATTTTCGTGAAACTGAACTGAGTGGAGTCTCAGAAGTCAAGAAACATTTCCAGGACAGTACAGACTGCAACTGCACACACCTCAGCAGCCCTCCCTTACAGACAATATTTATCCCTGAGCCATCACACCATTACAGCACAGAAGTGTCTTCTTGCATCACAAAAATCAGAAAACTTTGCAGAAGTGAATCACTTTGTTATGCCTAATATGTAAAATCCAGTAAACTGGTTTAAATGTTTGAATGGTTCAAGTTTGTTACAAAATTGTATCTGTTATTTATAAATTGCAGCAGTGAGAGATATGTATAAGATTTTGAAAACTTTTTTTCTTTCTATGTTGTCAGGAATGCTAAAGTTTATAAAAAAAGCTTTTATATTTTAAGTACATTAAAATTACTATGAAACACCTCCAACAGGGAACTGCACAAAAAGAAATATTTACTCCTAAATATTATTCTCAGCAGAATATTCTCTGCAGAAGCAACTTAATTTCTATATTCAGAAGTTAAACTCCTAAATTAACTTTAAAATCAAATCAGAGAAGCAGATAATTTGTTTGTTCTTTACCATCCAGCACTGCTAGAACTGTGACAGAATATCCATTTTTAGCAGTGTATTGAATTGAATAGTAGGGTTAAAGTACCTTTATCCTATTGTGTGCCAGCAGAAAGAATTCTCTTTTGTCAAAACACAATGCAAATATAATTTGCAATAATTTTCAGTGCATAGATTGGTGATATTTTAATGCTGCTCTGTGTGTCAGGTTACTCATGGATTTCTCTTTGCCCACTAACCAGCTGTCAGTATGTGTTAAACTAATCTGACTATTCTTGGGATAATAACCATGCATTAAATTTTAAAACAATCACATGATTACATTCCTTGAATATAACTTACAAAAATGAAATTTTTATATCATATTGATATGACAATCTTTGACCTCAGCTGAAGATTACCAGCTTTCTCTCATGTACAGTAGAAATATGGTAAGGAATAAACCACACCCACTGTGTAACTTTAGATACCTTTTATGTAAACCTGTTTATGTTCTATCTGGAATTAGTGGAATGATAAGAATCAAGAGCAAACAGGAAAAGAATCACCTGAGAACAGCACATAGTATTCCACATGCATGATATTTTCTTTTTGTGTGCCAATTTCTACTGTTTTGCTTTAATTTCATTTTTTATAATTTCAAATGCTGAAAGTGTATTCTAGAAAATGAATGTATGTAAGATATTCTATGCTGTAAAGCACAATATTTGGTCAGTATCCACCTCAGTGTTTGTTATGTTGTTGTTTGTATCAGTAAATTCAGTATCAGAAAATTCAGGACAGAGACAAAGATCTCTGAATGTGTAGTCCAACTTTCCTGTTAGAATACTGTGGTTTCAGATTTTAGCAATATGCTATTTTAAAATAAATTTATAGTATTAAACCTATTGAATGCCTCTAAAGAAAAAAAAATCTCATAAGCATATTTATAAAAAGAAGAACATTTTTAACTTTAAAAATCAATTATGTTTATATATAGCATGCTACATTCAAATAAACTTTACTTTCTCTGCTAAGAAAATTTTGGACTCTATTTTATATTTGGACTATACGTTCAAAACTAGAAGACACAGAAGCATCAATCTCATTTTTGTACTCTAAAAGAACAAAAGGTGCACAAAACCCCCTTTGCCAAGCAAGTGGGGAATGAACCCTAAACCAGCTCGTGGGTTCCAGAAGTCACATCAGAAGAATATAATTAAATATTTTAATTTCTCAGCTGATCAAGGATCTGAAACTAAGGGGCCAAGCACAGAGAGAGAATCTGCCCAGTGGCACTGGACAGTGGGAGGTGGGTGCTGTTCCTCTCTCCCTGTCCATAGGGAAGCTGAATGTCCACCTACCCAGAACATCTTGCAGCAAACACTACCTTTTAAACACTGATAATAACAATTCTAACATTTTCCCCCTATTCTTTGTCATCTGCTTTGGTCCTGCAACAGCCATGTGAAGTTTTTTATATGAATAAAGACTTGTGTGGATGCAAGGAGAGGGTCCCTGCTGCTTTTCACTCAGGCTCTAAGGGATATTTTTCTCCTAAAACAGCACACCAGTGCTTCCAGGAACCAGCACAGCCCCATGTGTTTGGAAAACACTGGTATTGAATGCTCATTTTTAAAATTCCAACATAAAAATGGCAAAAAATGTGCAACTTGATGCCAGCATGGGCAAGACATCAGGACAGACTGACAATGCCAATGGGCTTGACCCACTGAGCCTTTGCAGGGAATTTGAAGTTTTCCTGGGAAAAAGAAGGCAGAAGCCTCAAGTGAGAGAAAGCAGCTGTGGCTCCTGAGCCAGTTGAGAGGTTATAAATAAAAGCCCATCTCCAAAAACCTGCTCAAGTCTACAACACCTTAATCCAAACACAGAATCTTTGAGAGAGGACACAGACCTGCCCTGCCTTTGTCCCTTCTCAGCTTGCAAATTTTATTAAATACTCTATCAGTAAAGAGGACATGAAACAGGGAAAACACTTGGATATAAACAACCCCTTAAATATCTCTCAAAATACACACTGCCATTTCTGTAATTTAATAAAGGCTCACAAAGAGTATTAGAACACTTGTATTTATCGTATCATGAGGTTTGCTTATGTAAAAAATAGCATAAGGCAGAAAAAATATGTCATGCTTTTAGCTGGCAGAAAGTAGCTCCGTTTATCAGTTTAATAAATTCAGTAGCTCTTCCTAGCACACACCACAACCTCTGAGGCAGAGCATGTGAATATTTGCATGTGTGTGTTATGAGATGATCTCATTCCTGTGGCAAGGCTGCAGTAATGAGTGCACTTCTTCATTTTAAGTCTCCATCTTGTTATATACAATACCAAGATAAATACAGGTATGGGGAAAAGGGAAAGGATAGGAAGGATATGGTGGTTTTAGTACTGAACTTTAAGGGTTTTGTTTTGGTTTTTTCCATGTTATTTGTACAGCAGTGAAAAACCATGGGAAAGGAAACCAGCACTCCACAAAAGGAAACTGGGCCCTTAACAGGAAGGTGGAAGGAAAGAAAGCAAGAGAATTTGAAGGTTTAGGTGACAACTTTACATGAGCTTCAGCAGCAATGATACTTTATGTAAATAGGATGTATGGGGAGCAGGGATACCACTTACCCCTGAAATCAATTCTGGGAAAGGCTGAAGATGCAGCTTAACCCTGTCTCTGTCTTGTAGTAGATCTTTAGGCCAAGACCATAAGCCCAGAAAAGTCCCTCCCACAATTTTAGCAATGATACTTGGAAGAAAGCAGTACTAGAGCTATTTAAAGCTGTCACAATAAAAATAAATTATATTCCTGATTGAATATAATTTTTTATTTCTTGCATAACACAGCTACACTAAACCACCACCTCAACTGATCAGTTCTGGGTGTCTTCAAATTGTACAAACCAAGGAGTGAACAGCTTCCATTCAGAGTTTATAGGAGCATAGTAAGGATTAATTCAATCCAGGCAGTAACATGGGACTTTTTCCCTGACAGGGTCACACATACTACATTTTCCACGTAGGATATTTCAGTGTGAATTTCCTTAGAGTTCCTTGATGTTTGCCCATTTATTTTTCACTCAGGGCGGACATGACACTCCTAGACCCATTTCTTAATAATGAGTGTTCTTCCTTAGCATATTGGATAAAACTTATCCCCCCGTCCTTGCAAAGTCCTGAGCACCGGGGATTTGAGCGAGACTAGAGCTCAGCTCAGGCTCGGTTTGCCATTCAGGCTCTGCTCAGAAGATGGTGCTATGTGACAATTTTTGGAGAATCCTAGCTCTTTCTAAGAGAGAACGAGGGTACCTTGTAGTAATATTTATCCTTTAAATAGAAATCCACTCTTTAATAGTCTCCAGAGCCTCCTCCATTTGCTGGTGGAGCTGCCTTACGGACACGCTCCCCGCACACAGACACTGCTGAGCTCCTCAGGAAAGTTTGGAATCAAAGTTACTGAGTCACAGCAAAGGCCCTCTGTAAATATTCCCAAACCAGCAGCTGGCACTGCTGCCCTGGTGCCTGTCCTGGGTTTTGACACGTGAAAATCAAAAGTTATTTGTGTTTGATTTCACTGAGCTCAAATCATGGAACCCATTTCTCTGGCTGCAAAGGCTCGGGATGAAAAGCCAAGGATGCAGGCAGGTGGGTGAAGAGAAGGATCTATTTTGGCCCATTAGCCCATCAATCAGCCAGGTAGCCCACAGAACCCACCCATGACTTCATCCAGACCTTTTAAAGCTGCAGTTCCTGATGTGGGGTAAAACTGCACAGCTCTGCTCTTTAGAAAATGCACACGACAGGTCCATAGGTGTTAAAACCAACAATAAAATAGAAAAAGGTTTTTGCCCTGTTTCCCCATTGTCCATACTAGGGTAGCCATGAAACAGAGGTGAATACAATGTGCTTTACCTGAAAGACAAGGAAACTTCATACAGTCCTAACAATTGTTTTTATAGGGGATAAAGCGGGGCTTCATCCTTCCACTGCAGCAGGGAACAGGGAATACTGAATATTCCCAGATACTGGATGTAACTTTTACAGGAGTCAGCAGTCTCACCTCACCTCACCTCCCTGTAAACACAGAACTGCAACTTGCCTTTATATGTAGCTCTTCCTGTCACCGCCAATTTACAGACAGTTCAATGATACTGCTTCCAGAATTCAGAAAAAGGTTCTGAAGCAAAACATTAAAAAAGTACAGTTTATGAATTATTCCTTACAGAAAATAGAGACTAATTAACAATCAGCTTTATAATGTTTATAAGACAGCTCTAAATACAAACAATAATTTAAAATATGTTGGGGAAAGTGAAGTGTTAGAACACTTGAAACTGACCCTTTCCTCTGCTATACTTTTGATTAAAGAGGTAACTATTCCTCACTGATTTCTGTGACAGTCAGAGACATTTGACTATGTTCTGTAGAGAAGTTAAAACATCATAAATATATTAATAATCTGTTGTGAACCACCACTATTACATGGCAAAGTTTGCTTTTTTTTTTTTTCAGGACACCTACCCCCTACCAAAGACATTTCCTCAATAATTACAACCGTGGAGCAAAAGAAACTCCATAAGAAAACCTCTTTATTTCTGTGACACAAGCAGCAGAGATAGAGAGACAAAAATTCGAATTTA